TATGCAAAAGATAAAAGTATATACCTGAAATATGTACAGGTTATTATATGTCAATTATACCATAAGAAAGCTAAAAAAATTGTATGCATCTAAAGCTGAAGTAAGAAAGGAAACACACATTCTTCAATAGTTAAACTAATAAAGAGCCTAAGAATTAAACTAATAAAGAGCCTAAGAATTCATTAACTAATAATCAGTCTCAATAATTTGGAAAAGGCAAATTTTATGAAAAGGAGAGTATAGAAAGACAGCCTTAGGCAAAAGAGCAAAATTTAAACATATTGAAAGTGAACACATGCACAGAGTTGTCAGCAACGTCAAATTTTCATGCTTTTATTTTACTATTTTATTTTTTTAAATATATTTTTAGTTGTAGATAGACACAATACTTTTATTTATCTATCTTCTATTTATTTATTTATTTATTTTATGTGGTGCTGAGAATTGAACCCATTGTCTCACATATGTTAGGCATGTGCTCTAACACTAAGCTACAGCCCCATCCCCAAATTTTCATGCTTTTAAAAGACAAATAAAATTTAAAGAACTCAGGTTAAACTTCAGAAAAAAAATTATGTATCAATTATACATATATATCTAATATATATTTATATATTTTTTCAAGGCTGCCTCATCTAATGTTGATATACTTTCTGGGAAACACTGTGAGTCATTGTAATTCATGTGTATGCATGCTTTAAAAGGAAATATGTAGACTGGGGTTGTGGCTCAGTGATAGAGTGCTTACCTAGCATGTATGAGGTACTGAGTTTGATCTTCAATGCCACATAAAAATAAAATAAAAGTAAAGGTACTATGTTCATCTACAACTAAAAAATGAAATATGTAAAATTATTACAAAATTTAAATTTATGGAAGCAAACAAAAACCTCAGTCATATCATGTGTAGATGATAATGCTGTAAATCACTGTAAAGTAATTTTTTATTTTGCATTCATCACACAGAGCACTGATACCTACATGGTACACTACTACATACCTAGGTTATATGTGATAACTGTCACTGTACATGCGGTCTATCACCAACCAAAGGGTCATTGTGCCACACATGGCTGTATGCTATAACGTTACAGCAGTCAATGTACACCTCATAAAAGATGAATAAATAGACCTGTTGATCTAAAGACAGAACCTTTAAAGAGACACTTGCAATTTAGACAATGATAAGTTACAAGAGTTTGCACTGCAGGAAAGTAGAAAAATGGCATCATTTCCAAAGAAAGCTGCTGGGAAAATGGGGTATCTGTGTGACTGATAATAAATGCAATTGTAGCCTTTCCTCATATCACATGATAAATCATTGTTCTCTGACACTTAAATACAAAAGCAAATCAAAATATTCAAAAATTATTATAACAAAAGGAGTTACAGCGTGGACACGGTGGTACACATCTATAATACCAGCTTTCCTGGAAAGCTAGGACAGGAAGATAGAAATTTCTATGGCAGCCTGGGCAACTTGGTGAGACCCTGTCTTATTATACGTCAATTATACTACAATAAAGCTATAAAAATTATATGCATCTAAATATATAAATTTCAAATAGGGTTGAAATGTAGCTCAATGGTAGCACTCCTTTGGTTCTAATCCTAAGAACCAAAACAAGGGAGTTATTTTCAAAGTTATACAAAACAACATGTTAAAAAATAATAAAATTGGGCATCATTAAAATAAAAATTTTATTTATCAAATGCTACCATTAAAAGGTAAAAAGAGAAGTGACACAGTGGATGAAAATAATTCCATCACATATAACCAAACATTTTTAGTAGGAAAGAAAAAGACAGGACACCAAAAAAAAAAAAAAAAAAAAAA